GCCGGGGGGTTTCGGGGCCCGCAGCTGCTCCCCAGCCTGGTCCCTCTCCTGCAGGGGCTGGTCCAGGCCAACACCTGGGTGGTCCTCCGGGACCTGCAGCCGGGGGTGAAGTACCACATCCAAGTGCGCAGCAAGCCCGACGGCACTTCCATGGATGGCATGTGGGGGCCCTGGTCACAGGCAGTGTCTGCGGAGACGCCCCGCTCCTCCGGTGAGCAGCCTTCCCCACTGCTGCAGTGCTGGTGGGCACACCTGGGGCTGTGAGGGGTGGGAGCCCTGGGGTAGGCCAGGTGCAGCACCCAGGTTTTACAGGGCCCAGGGGGAAGCAGCCCCCTCCCTGTCCTGGCTCTCACCTGCCCAGGAGACATCAGGCTATTCTGTAGCACCCCTGACCTGCAGTACGTGCGCTGCGAGTGGAGCTGGGACCCCACAGAACCCCACGGCTCCCACCAGCTCTTCTACCGGCCACCTCCAAGCAGGGCTGGCACAAGGTAAGGGGCATGGCAGGGACACGAGGCTCAGGCCGAGAGGCGGCACATCTCAGGGACTGCTGGCCCTGCTCTCTGTCCCATGTCCTGCACCATGCCACCTGGGACTGTTGCCCTGCCCTGCTCTACCACCATCGACCTCACACCTCCTCACTGCCACCCCAGCCATGCTGCCCCTCTGACTACGGGCAGCACTGGCTGTCCTTGGCAAGGGCAGGAGGAGTGAGGCAGCACTGGCTGCAGGGACGGGGTGGCTCCAGAGCAGGGCTGGCAGCAAGCAAGGGGAGCGGGGCCACCATGGTGGGGCTGACTGGCTCCCCGCTCCCTGCTCAGGGAAGACACATGGCAGCAGTGCGAGGAGGCAAGCGTGGGGGTGCAGGGCACCCACGCCTGCACCTTCCAGCCCAGGGCTGGCAGCGCCATCTCTATTCTGGTGAATGTCACCCGTCCCCATGCACCACCCACACTCAGCTACTTCAAGGAGCCCTTCTGGCTGCACCAGGCTGGTGAGTGCCAGCACCGCTGCAGCCCCTGCCCTCACCCATGCCTGGCTGCCAGGGGACACAGCAGGGTAGGGTCCCTGGCCCATGGCAGTGACACGTCCTCATCTCCAACAGTGCTCACAGATGCCCCACGGCTTGTGGAGGCAACAGTGGCACCGGGCCGGCTGAGCCTGCAGTGGCTGCC